TAGGTACTAACAAAGAGGAAAGGGGCTGAGGATGTGGCTGACAGAGAACATACTTACCACGCGCCGGGCACTGGGTTCAATCTCCAATGCCAAAACTACCCTGAAAAAAAGAGGTTTTATTATGTTTAATGGCAAATTTAAATTTATGCTGCTTAAACTGGATCTTTGGATGCCTAAGTCAGTGGCAGAGCCAATGTTTAGTATGCTTGAGGCCCTGGGTTTAATACCCAGCACCAAAAAAGATGCATCTCAATGTCACAGATGTTAAAAAAAAACAAAACATTAAAAAAAACGTCTTGGGGCCGGGGATTTAGCTCAGTGGTGCCATGTCTGCCTCACAAGCGCAAGGTTGAGTTCGATCCCCAGTACTGGAAAAAAGAAGTCTTAAACCAAGTGTGATGGCACTTGGGAGGCTGTAATCCCAGCCACTTGGGAGCCTGAGGCAGGAGTATTGCAATTTGAGGTCAGGTTGGGCAATTTAGTAAGGCCTTGACTGAAAAATTTTCTAAAAATGCTTAAGAAGGGATGGGAATGCTCAGGACTCCCTGGGTTCAGCTTTCAGTACCAAACAACCAAAAAAATCTATCCTTAGAGCCGGAGGTGTGGCTTAGTGTGTGACCCCCAGCAACTAACAACAAAACAAAAACAGAAAAATATGAGTAGACGAAATTACCCAGAATGAAAGCAGAGTGGGGTACTCTGCCCTCCCCCTGGTAACAAGCCACCATACATATTTAGGTATGTAATTTTATGGAAGTATGTGAAGTATGGTGAGGCCTAGTTAGACTGATTTTTTTTTGATTCCGGGGATTGAACTCAGGACCTTGGGGTTGAGGCAGGCGCAGTGCTGCTGTGCTACATGCCTGGCCCGAGTAGCTAAAATTTCGAACAGTACAATCAGCACCTGTGCTGCTTCCAGTCACACACGGTGTCGAGATGTCACCTAACCTGCCCCTTGTCACCTGAGGTTGGACAGGGCGACCTTTGCCTTTTGTTCAGCTTCGTTTTTAAGCACATGGCCCTTTCCACAGTCCATGCAGAGCCAGCCGTGTGGCATTTGTCATCTCAAGTAGCCTCCAGGTGACGTGCTGCCTGAGACCCCTTGGTGCCAGGCTAAGCTGTGCCCTCACCTAACTGGATAATTAGATGAGCACCGCTCAGGTGCCAGTTTCCCTGCTGCTGCCCAAGTGTCATGCTGGCGAGTCAACAGCACATTAAATAAGGTGTCTTTAACCAGAATCAATATGGAGCTACAGAAGTGGTTTGACCAGAGGCTCGCAGGAACCTAACCTCAGGAACAGGGGTCAGCAAGTACAGGAACAGAAATTGAACTGCTGTGGACATCAGGAAACAACTGCATTCCACTAGCTCAGTGATGGCGAACCCTTTAGAACTCTCAGTGATACAAATAGCCAGCTGCGGCATGTCTGCTGTAGGTTCACCACCTCTGCACTAGAGCCTGTTATCTTTGTAAATTCAATCTCACTGCATACCAACCTTCCCCATGTGTGTGATAAAACTCTACTGAGAGGTGGTGCACACCTATAATCCCAAAACTCTAGGAGGTTGAAGCAGGAAGATTGCAAGCTTGGGCACAGCCTGGGCAATTTAGGGACTTAGTGAGACCCTGTCAAAGTGAAAAAAGGACTGGGGATGTAGCTGAGATGGAAGAGTCTGGGTTCAATTCCCAGTACCCAGCCCTAGCACATTTGTTCTCCATTAAAGCCAGGTCTGCCTTTATTTATTTATTGCATGTTAAAGTTTTATTAAATGTCAATACAAAAACATTCCAAAAGTAACACGTGATCTAGAATACCTAAGGTCTGCCTTTAAATCAGTTCAGATTCTTTGCAGTTGAAGGAAGTCTCTTCTCATAAAAATGATGGCCTCTCGTAGAATAAGTTCAACCTAGTACCCACCTAAATTAACAACTGTTACTGGACTGCTCTCACTGAACACATCCTAGACACTGACGCTCTCAAGACAAAATCTTGAGACTTTGTCAGTGAGATGACAAAATGACATCTCACTGAAAATCCCAACGAGCTGACAATACACAGAGCCTCCAAAATGGGCAGATTATAAGACATTTTCTCAGAATATTCACAATTTGTAATTGCACATCAACTTTTATTTCAGGTTTCCCTTTTAGTCTATAAGCTCCAAGAGGGCAGGAGCCAACTGTATTTTCCTTTGAGACAGGACTTCACTATGTAGTTCAGGGTGGCCTTGAACTATGTAGCCCAGGCTGGCCTTGAACTTGAGGTGCACCTCCTGCCTCAGCTTGCTGAGTGCTGGGATTCCAGGTGCATGCCTCCAGGCCTGCTGCCAGCTGTATTAAAGTTTGTGTGGGTCTTCAAATCTCTTGACACAGCTGCAGAGTCCTTGGCCTTCAGCTTGGATCACAACCAACAGAAGCAGTAACAGATGAGAGCATGGAAGTCAAATGTGAACTAGTTATTTATTTCGCCAGCTCTTAATTTACAAGACAAATGGAGAAAAACTCCAAGTTGGCTGTGTTTCATTATGCCAGTTCAATTTTATTAGCTGTGCCTTGGATTGGTGCTAGGACCCCTTGCAGATACTAAGGCCCGTGGATATTTGCACACAATCTGTACACACCGTTTGGTTTTAAGACAGGATCTTGCTATGTACCCCAGGCTGGCCTCAAACTAGCAGTCTCCTCATGTCTCAGCCTCCCTCAGCCAGGATTGCAGGCGTGTGCTACCACGCCCAGCCAGATACCTTCTTTGTATGTTGGGGATTGAAGCTATGACCTGGTGAATGCTAAGCATGTGCTCCACCACTGAGCTATACCCCTAGCCCTCTCATATACTTTTTTTTTGGTATTGGGGATTGAACTCGAGTCCTTGCACTTGCACAGCAGGCACCGAAACCACTGAGCTAAATCCCTGGGCCACTCATATACTTTGAGACAGGGTCTTAATATGTATTTCAGGCTGGCCTCAAAACTGGGAATGAATCCTCCTATCTCAGCCTCCCGAGTGCCAGGACTGCAGGTGTGTGCCACCACGCCCAGCTGCCTTCTGTCATACACAGTGCTTTAAGTCTCCAGGCTACGTATAGTGTATGGCATTCTCCCTCTTGGATCACAGAATTTGTAATAAAGCTATCTGACCACAGCTAACACTGTAACTTTATGAAAAAAATATAGGGGCCGGGGATTTAGCTCAGTGGTTTCGCCGCCTGCTGTGCAAGCACAAGGGCCCAAGTTCGATCCCTGGTACCAAAAAGAAAATAAAAACAAAAAATAAATATATCAACTGTAGAACAATCAAGTTGAACTTACTGGGCTGCGGATTTGGCTCAGTGGCACTGCACCTGCCTTGCAAGTGCAAGGTCCTGAGTTCGACCCCGGTACAAAAAAAAACCAAAGTTGAACTTACCTAATGAAAAAAATACATGTACTTTAAAAATACATTCTCTGGGGGACGGGGATGTAGCTCAGCAGCACAGCACCTGCCTGGCAAGCACCAGGTCCTGAGTTCAATTCCAGATACAGGGATGGGGGGGACGGGGACGGGGAGACAACATTCTCCCATTTTTTTTTTTTGGTCCTGGGGATCGAACTCAGGTCCTTGCGCTTGCACAGCAAGGGGCAAAACCACTGAGCTAAATCCCCGGCCCATTCTCCCAAGTTTTACAGTAACTTTTTTTTTTCTTTTTTGAGGTCCTGGGGATTGAACACAGGGCCTTCGCATTGAGCTAACTGTCCTTTTTGGAGACAGGGTGTCACTAAGTTGCCCAGGCTGGAACGGAACTGCCTTAGCCTCCCAAGAGCTGGGGTTAAAGATGTGTGCCATTTCACCTACCTTTTTTTTTTTTTGGTACCGGGGATCAAACTCAGGTCTTTGCGCTTGCGCCATAGGCAGCGAAACCACTGAGCTAAATCCTCGGCCCATGAACTTCTTAAAATACACACAGGTTCACGTTACCTCTCAATTGACACAACCTTCCTTGTTCATGGTTTTGGTTGCATCTTTTGGCAGCCAGAGCTTCATGCATGCTAGGCAAATGCTGTACCACTGAGCTTTCTCTCCAACTCTATCAAACTTTTAAAAATTAACAATTTGTCCAGAAAACTTTTACATTTAAAAAAAACATTAAAAGACATATGCAAATCAGAAACTATGAAGAGATTAGGCCTCTCACATCTTCAAAGTTACTCTTCCTCAGCATGTTATTAGTAATAAGCTTTACAGGAAATTATAAGTGTTGAGGCATATTTTCCTCAAATTTAACCAATTAAAACTTTTTTTTTTTGGTACTGGGGATCGAACTCGGGTCCTTGAGCTGGCGCAGCAGACGGCAAAACCACTGAGCTAAATCCCCAGCCCAATTAAAACATTTTTTTAAAATTCTAGGGCCAGGGATTTAGCTGAGTTCAATCCCCGGTACCCAAAAAATAAAAAAATAGAAAATAATAAAAATTCTGGGGCTGGGGATTTAGCTCAGTGGTGCTACACCTGCCTCATAAGCACAAGGTCCTGAGTTTGATCCCAGGTACCAAAAAACCCAAACTTCCGGCCAGGCAAGTATGGTGGTCACACTCATAACCCCCGAATTCAGAGGGCTGAGGCAGAGATCTAGAGTTCAAGGCCAGGGTGGACTACTTAAGAAGACCATCTCAAAAAAAAAAAAGAATTGTTTGCTGGGGGCTGAGGAAGTAGCTGAGCTCAGGCACAACACCTGCCTGGCAAGCTTGAGGCCCTGATTTCAAGTCCCAGGATCAAAAAAGGGAAAAAAAATTGTTTTGCTATCAAATACAGTAGGTCTTTCCCCTTTTATTCTTTTTTATAGCAAAAGATTTATTGCTACATTTTAGACATACATAATGATAACACTCTTAACAGGGAACCTGCACCTCCCCTTTGTTCCTAAAGAACTCTTTACAGAAGTATTTGAGGACCCCTTGACAGGTGCTTTCCACACAGGCTTCCACACTGCTCACAAATGACAACCCGTGACAGCCACCCAAGTCTCAATAGAAAACTGCATTTTATTGAGAAACCATTAAAAAAGGTGAAACAAACAAAAACATTAAGTGACAGCAAAATTACTGGTTTCTGACTCAGAAGACGGTAACTATCAACCTGTAACACACACCGATGTTTCCAAGTTAACCCAGAAGAGGAGTCAATTTAGAGCCCACCCCATAAGGATGCTAATCTCTGAAATGCCAGAACTCATTTCACCAGTGGCCAGGTTCCACACAGTGGAATCAGCAACCAATGAAATGTATATGCAGCGGACGGGAAATAAAAAGGCATACATTTCATGTAGAATCACTATGAAAGAAAAATCTCATTCAGGCAAAAAAAAAAAAAAAAAAAAAGAAAGACCGAGCTGGTTGTGGCGCCACACACCTGTAAGCCTGGCACTCTGGGAGGCTGAGGCATGGGGATCATAAGTTTGAGTCCAGCCTGGGTAATTTAGCAACTTAGCAAGACTCGGTCTTAAAAGAAAAAAACACCAAAAAGGGCTGAGGATGTAACTCAGTACAAAGACCATGGGTTCCATTCCCCAAAATAAGCTGGGCATGGTGGCACGTTCCTGTGATCTCAGGCCTTGAGGGGCTGAGGCAGGAAGATCGCCACAGGTCTGAGGCCAGCCTGGGCTACACAGTGAGTGCAAGCCCAGGCTGAACTGCATGGCGAGACCCTGTCTGAAAAAAATCCAAACAAAAGAGAAAAAGAAAACTGTTTTGTTTTTAAGGTGTAAGTTTCACAATACGTAGCAAACTACTAAAACTTAAACTTGGTAATAGTCAACAGACAACTCTGTCCCACATTTATGTTTATTAAAAACTGACAAACAAAACCTATACAGAAAATGTCCCGAATCACTCCTGCACTGTCCCTGGGAGAGGCATTACCGCCTAGGGCCTCCTCTTCCTCTGCCACGGCCACGCCCTCGGCCTCGGCCTCGGCCTCGGCCTCTTCCTGCAACTGAGGGGAGAGAGAGAAAAACAAGTAAGTGAAACTCTCCTCTGCACAAATATCACCTGCCCACTTACCCACAGTCCTTCCCTCCCTCCAGATAGCTTTTGTTTGTTCTGTGAGACAAGGTCTCACTATGCAGCCCAGGCTGGCCTCAAACTTGTGATCCTCTTGCCTCGGCCTCCCAATTGCTGGGATTACAGCCATGCGCCACCACGTCTGGCTCCATGTTGCTTTTGGAGTAGTGGATTAGGGCTTAAATAGACCATATACAGAAACATTCATAATCCTTCAAACTTACCAGCTTCCCTCTTCTTAGATTTCACCTTAGGTTCAACATCCACAAGTAGCGTGTCCAGAGGCAAGCTGTCTGGCAGGATAAAATAGCGAATGTTGTTTCCGCGAATGCTCAAGGTTTCCAGCTGCACTGGCTCTCTGTTCTTCAGGGTCATCTTCACCGCCTTCAGATGTGTGTTCATGCTGACATCTACGCCTACAGGGGACAGAGAAGAGCAAGTGTCAGCTGAGCCCCATAACACTGTGTAGTCCGCACACGCTCTGATTTGCTCCAGCTTGAGCAGTGAGTGCTTGGGGAAGAGTGGATCATCAGCGGTCTTTCCTCCACACAGTGGGAACCCTGGCCCTGTGTGCTCTGCCTGCCCCAGGTGCCCAAGGAACTCACTGCAGTTCTCCCCATTTCTGCAGCCTCCTCATGCCACACCCACCTTTGTGAGTCAGGCTCACCTCTGTTTTCTTTTTTTTTTTTTTAGTACTGGGGATTGAACTCGAGTCCTTCTACTTGCAGGGCAGGCAGTGGAACCATTGAGCTAAATCCCCGGCCCCTAATCTTGGTTTTCAAAGTAAAGGTAAGAGGGGAAGTGGGAGGGGAAGGGGAAAGGAAAGAAAGGAAAGGAAAAAATATGAGAAAAGAAAAAAATGGAAACAAAGTCTTTGTAAATAGGGAGGGGTGGAGGGGGTGAAGGGAGGGCAGGGGAAGGGGAACAAATAAGAACCAAGATATATCATGTACAGGTACAAGATCCCAATGATAAATGTAAACGCATTGTATACCTAAAATGTACCAATAAAAATAAATAAAAAAATAAAGGTCAGAAAACAGGAATTCTCTCAACTTTCCCAAAATCCACCTCAAAAGTTTCAGTGTTACTAATTCTTTCCTCCTTTCTCTCAGTCAGAAGGTTCTTTCTTGAAATGAATATTCTCTTTGCTGTGCTCCACCTCCTTGGGGGCGGGGCATTTACATTCCTAGGATCCAGGACTACATGGTAAGCCATCATAACTTATCCTCTCTCCCCCTACAGGAGACGGCATAATTACGTCTGCTGTAACCACTGAGAATGTACTCATATCTGTTCATATAGGACTAGAAAAACTAGTTAACAGTGGTTTTAAGTGGGGAGAGAATCATCCTGGCACTCTGGAAAGCTGAGGCAGGGGGACTGCAAGTTCAATGCTAGCCTGGGCAACTTAGTGAATTAGTAAGACTCTGTCTCAAGATTAAAAATTTAGCCAGGTATGATGGCACATGCCTATAATTCTAGCATTTAGGAGGCTGAAGCAGGAGTATTGCCCCAAGTTCGAGGCCAGCCTAGGTTACATGGTGAGTTCAAGGCCAGCCTGGACTACACAGCCAGACCAAGTATCAAAAATCCAAAATAGGGCCAGGGAGTTAGCTCAGTGGTTCTGCTGCCTGCCTCACAAGCACAAAGTCCCAAGTTCGATCCCCAGTACCAAAACAAATAAACGAACAAACAAGACATGGAAACCAATGTTATAACCTAGTATATGTGCTGCCCAAGCAAGCACACCAATGTTACAATCTAACTAGAAGGGAACATTCTAATCAAAGCACAATGTTTCCAAGGTAGGAGAAGCAGCATTCTACGCAGAGGTGCACACATAAGTGAAGGCCTAAGTCAGGGCAGTCTGTGAACTGTCAGTCTGGTTACAGCTTAAGGAGGTTTAATTAAGGCCAATTAATTCAGACAGGGAAAAAAAAAAAAAAAAAAGAGGATCAATACTGCAATAATGTTCACCAAGGAACCAAAAAAGACTTCTGGTCCAAAGGCGGAAGAGATGAGGAAACAAAAACCCAAACAAGGGCCGGGGATTTAGCTCAGTGGTTTGGTCGCCTGCTGCGCAAGAGCAAGGACCCAAGTTTGATCCCTGGTAGAAAAAACAAAACAAAACAAAAAAACCCAAACAAAACAAAAGTGTTATGAAAACACTTGATCTTAGCCAAAAGGCTGAGAAGCGATGTGTCATAAAAACAGTTCTCCCTGCATACCTGTGATTGTTCCATGGACCTGTGTTCCATTCTTCAATTCAATGGTGACAGTTTCATGGCTCAGTTTCATCAAAAATCTATAAAAATAGGAATAAAACCATGATTTCTCACCTTTAACACTTCAAAGTCATATTCATTTAGTTGAAAAGGTAAAATTACTATATGTTGAAAATCCATTAAATGTTATCTGCATGAATTCCTATTAATCTGCAGAACATTTCAGCTTTCCCTGAAACTACACCCTCAACATTTATAAAGGAGTATAATGCTAGCATCCTAAACCATCACCTGGGACTTTCTGATTCTCCACACCATCATACAATTTAACCTCAGATGAAGACACAGAAAGCCCCATTATAAGCCACACAAATAAATCCTCTTAATTGGTAGTACAAGAGGCTTATTGTCTGTAGAATAAAGAACCTCCCTACCCTTCTCTGTACTCTTCTAGATTTTAAGTATATACCTAAGATTTGTCTTTCACTAAATTGGGTCATTAATGACTTTTCCTTTTTTTTGGTACCGGGGATTGAACTTGGGACCCTGCGATTTCGAGGCAGGCGGTGGAAGCACTGAGAGATAAATCTCCAGCCCTATTATTGACTTTTTTAACTTGTAGTTCATGGTCAGCAGTTTTTCTGTCAATATATATTAAGAGCTCAGTGATATTCCACTACATGGAAATGTCATCATTATAGCTCTATAGCTGAATGTTTCTTTTTTCGCTTTTGCAAATCCATTTGTGTAAGCCCTCACCAGCACTAGTTAATAATCTTCGACATTTCTGTCGATTTAGGGTGATCTGCTTTCCCCCAGTTACTCGCGAGTGTGGGAATATGCAGTCTATGAACTGCTCATGTGTGCACCGTGTGTAGGTGCTGCCTTGAGCTCACGGCCGCCTGCCTGCTAGGCAAGCGCTCTACCATGGAGCTACCTTCCCAGACAACCCACGCACACCACTCCCACACTTTCAATAAGGTTGAGTTTTCCTCTGTATTTTCTACCAGTCCGCTATTCTTTCAAGTTGTGCTTTTTCTTGTCTTGCTATGTTACCATGCTCTAAAGTCCTGGGCTCAAATGATCCTCCAGCCTCAGCTTCCTAAATGCAAGGAAAGCAGGCACATGCAACCACACATTTTTTTCTGCCCCTTCCACTTTTTTCTGGTTGTATTTATCAGTTCTTCTTGGGTATGGGCATTGTTTAGAATGCTGTCCATGCCACAACTGTACAAACAGGCTCTAATTTCTGTTCAGGGTTTTAATCTATCAAGGACTCTTGTTTTATGATACTTCAACATGTATTTCCTAATGTGAACACTCTCAAGAAAATAAACAATAATTCTACAGTATCATCTAATATACAGTTCATATTCTTTTTTGGGGGGGAGGTCTCACTATGTATTTCAGACTGGCCATGAACTCCCTACATAGCCCAGGCTGGCCTGAAACTTGCGGCGATCCTCCTGCCTCAGCCTGCCAAGTGTTGGTATTATGGGCATGCACCATGAGGCCCAGCAGTTCATCCTCTGTGGCACACACCTTGTATACTGACACAGAATCCCCCTCTCTTCACCCCCACTACTTACTGGTGAGGGTAGGGATCCTGACTTCGCTGGGTAATCCTGGATCTTAATAGACATTCAGCTCAATGTTTTCATGATTAAAAGGAAGCCAACCTTAAAATGCCACATTCTTTTTTTTGGTACCGGGGATTGAACTTGGGTCCTTGTGCTTTCAAGGCAGGCGGCAGAACCATTGAGCTAAATCCCTGGCTCCTAACAGACTTTTGAAAGGTCGTCTGTCCTAGCCAGATGTGGTGCTGTTTGTAACTCCAGCTGTAGGACGCTGAGGCAGAATAACAAGTTAGAGGTCATCCTGGGCAACTGTGCAAGCCTCACCTCAACAGAGCAGCCAACCAAAAGGGCTGCCCAGTCCAAGTGAGGCCCTGGTCAATACTCAGGGCCTGGGGTGGGGTCATACTAACATAGACCTTCTTGTGCTGAACGCCTTTTCAAAAAGTAAAGATTCTTTCAATGAACTCTTACTGCGGATTAACAAGATTCAATTCAGCTCCAAATTTAGTAACAAATTATAACTGTATGAGCCCAGAATTCCAACCTATTGGTTTCCTCCTATTACTGAGTTTGTTTTTATTTTTATTGTAATTGTCCTACTCAGTAGTAACTTTTATTATGAAAGTTCTTCAAATCAGCAAGCATACTGGTGCACACTAGTAATCCCAGCACTCTGGGAGGCCAAGGCAGGAGGACTGCAAATTTGAGCCCAACCTAGGCGACTATAATCTGTATCTATAATCTACTATGTCAAAAAGCAAAACCAAGGGCTGGGGATTTAGTTTAGTGGTTCTGTCTCCTGCCTTACAAGCAGAAGGACCTGAGTTTGATCCCGGGAACAACAACAAAAAAAATTAAAAATGCTGGGCCGGGGATTTACCTCAGTGGTTCTGCCGCCTGCCTCACAAGCTCAAGGTCCCGAATTTGATCCCCGGTACCAAAAAAAAAGCAAAACCAGAAAGAAAAAAAGTCTCTGAAATATCCAAATATAGTTCATTAATTTTGCCAAGTCCAAGGATATCTCTGATAAATATAATAATCATTACCTATTATGTCACAGTTCCACTTGGTAATGAGGTTTAAAAATGAACAAGCCCAAGTTCTCAAGGAGTTCAAAGTCTAGTAGGAAGATCAGATACAGAAAGGTACTTAAAATAACTGTAACTGAAGAAGGCAATGGAGACTTGCAAATGAGCATAAAGTGGCTCAGGGAGGGTAGAGACATATCTCAGTGGACTGCTATTAAGTCTGTAAAGTCTGAAATACTCATCAAGAAGAGACAAGAGAAAGACACAGTGGTAACATGCTGAAGATTGAAAGTAGACCCATGTCTCTCACCATGCACTAATCTAAAATCAAAATGGATCAAACATCTAAATATTAAAATAGAAACGCTAAATCTGCTGGAAAATAGAATAGTTATAACTTTTGAATACACTGGTGTAGGCAATGACTTTATGAACAAAACCCAGATTGTACAGGAACTATCACAGGAAAAATCAACAACTGGGATCTCATCTTATTAAAAAGCTTTTGCACAGCAAGAGAAACCACCAACAGAGTGGAGAGACAACCCACAGGGTGAGAACAATTTTTTACTAGCTATTCATCAGACATTAGACTACTAATCTAGAATATATAAAGAACTCAAAAAGACAGACCTCCTCCAGTTTAAAGACCCAATCCAAAAATGGACATCTAAAATGAATAGACACTTCTCAGATGAAGAAATAGAAACAGTAAATACATGAAAAAATGTTCAATATCACTGGTCATTAGAGAGATGCAAATTAAAACTCTACGGCCGGGGATTTAGCTCAGTGGTTCTGCCACTTGCCTCGCAAGCGCAAGGTCCCAAGTTCAATCCTCAGTACCAAAAAATAAATAAATAAATAAATAAACTCTAGATTCCATCTCACTCCAGAAAGAACAGCTGCTATCAAGATATCAACCAATAACAAATGCTGGAGGGGCTGTGGGAAAAAAGGAACCCTTCTCCATTGTTGGTCGGAGTGCAGACTGGTGCAACCGCTGGGGAAATCAGTATGGAGATTCCTCAAAGAACTAAAAGTAGACGTTCCATTTGACCCAGCTCTTCCTCTTCTTGGTATCTTCCTGAAAGAAGTAAGAGCATTATACCACAGCAATATGTGCACACCCACGTTTACTGTGGTAGTTTGTAATAGCTGAATCTTGGAAACAGCCCAAATGCCCATCAACTGATGAATGGATAAAGAAGATGTGGTTTTGTTTTTTTTTTTTAACACAATGGAGTACTACTCTGCCATAAAAACGAGCTTCAGATTTTTTGGGGGGGATACCGGGGATCAAACTTGGGTCCTTGTGTTTGGGAGGCAGGCAGCGGAACCACTGAGCTAAACCCCCGGCCCCGGACACACATGTTTAATACTGCATTGTTTCTCTGGTGTGAGAAACCCTAAATGGAAATAAGGACCAAAATGTATAATAGACATTGAAATGGGAAGAACAAAAGTGGGAGGGAAGGAGAAAGGAAGAGATAAAAAAAAGTGAAAGGGCCGGGGATTTAGCTCAGTGGTTCCGCTGCCTGCCTCGCAAGCACAAGATCCCGAATTCAATCCCCAGTACCAAAAAAAGAAAAAGAAAAAGTGAAAACAGAAGGAAAAAATGGAAACAAAGCTTTTGTACACGGGCGGCGGGGGGCTTGAGGGGGGAATGGGATAAAATAAAACATTAAGAAGTAAAGAAGGGTAGGGGATTTATTTTAGTGGTTCCACCACCTGCCTCAAAAGCTCAAGGTCCTGAGTTCGATCCCTGGTACTGAAAAAAAAAAAAAGAGGAAAGAAAAAAGTTAAAATAGAAGGAAAAAAATGGAAACAAAGCTTTTGCACATAGAGAGAGGAAGGGGTTTGGGGGAGGGGGAATGGGATAAAAGAGGCGGGATGTATCAACCACAGGTGCAAATTCCCTATGATCAGTGTTACCATTATGTATGGCGAAAATGCACTAATAAATGTTTTGCTTAAAAAAAAACCAAAACACAGTGGTAAGAAACAGCACAAAGCTGGGATGGGGGTGTGGTACAGTGGTAGAGCTCGTGCCTAGCATGTGTGAGGCCCTGGATTCAATCCCAGCACCATACACACGCACACGCACACACACACAAGCAAACAAAAAGCAAAACACAAGGTACCAGAGTAATTTTAGCTACTACTGAGGGAATATTATATTAAAAAAAAAACGAGTAAAGTCAGGTTCCTCTCATGGAGTCCATTTGGGAGGCTGAGGCAAGAGGTTCACCACAAGTTTCAGGCCAGCCTGGGCTACATAATGAGTTCAAGACAAACCTTAACTACATAGTGGAGTGCTAGGGTCATATTCATATTCTAAAGAGAATTTAGGGCAGATATTAAAAAAGATTAATTTCATTTTTGGGGTTTTTTTTCTCTCCTGGTACCAGGGACTGAATTCAGGACATTTATACTGAACTGTACCCCCTTTTCTGAGACAGGGTCTTGCTAAGTTGCCTAGGCTGTACTAGGACTTTTGATCCTCCTACATGAGCCCCCCACCCAGAGGGCTGGGATAATAGGCATGTGCTATCACATCCAGGTAAAATCAATTTTAGAAGACAACTGCACATTCCTTAGGAAGACAAACTAGGCAGCTGGAGCAATACAAGGTTAACACCACAGTAATCAGTAACAAAGGAATAGAGATTGATAAAACAGTAGTGCTCAGAAATAGGCCACATCGACAGGATAGGTTTTCTACAAAGGTACCAATGCAGTCCAAGGCAAAGGTAAAATTTTTTCAACAAATGACGCTGTTGTAACTGGAAATTTATACAGAAAAATGGACCTAGATCCCTATCTCACACCATTTACCAAAATAAAATTATGACAGACTACAGTCATAACTTAAAAGTAAAAATTATAAAGCAGGAGAAAGAAACACAGGAAAATATGTTCATAGTTTGAGAGCAGATAGGTTTCTTGGACAAGAACTATAAAAGAAAAGGTGATAAATTAAGGCTTCTTCAAAATAAACCTGTGCTCAGTAACAAATACTATTAAGAAATGGAAAATCTAAGGGCCAGGGATTTAGTCCAGTGGTTCCGTCGTCTGCCTTGCAAGCGCAAGGACCCGAGTTCAATCCCGGGTACCAAAAAAAAAAGAGAGAAATAAGATTTTAAACCAACAATATATTTGTTGACAACCTAGAAGGTTTGTAATCATTATGATTTGTGTATTAAAAGGTAAACCAGAAAAAAAAAAAAAAAAGAAATGGAAAATCTAGGCAGGTATGGAGGTACATGTCTGTAATGTCAGCACTTTGGGAGGCTGAGGCAGGAGGATTGCTAAATTAAGAGTCTACGGGCCGGAGATTTAGCTCAGTGGCGCAGCACTTGCCAGGCAAGTGCGAGGCCCTGAGTTTGATTCCCGGTACCAAAAAAGAAAAGTGAAAAAAAAGACACCCCCTCCCAAAAAAAAGCCCCTAAAAAAAAAAAAAAAAGTTAAGAGTTTACCCTGAACTACACAGTGAGAGCCTGCCCTCCCCAAAAAATGAAGGGGGGGGGCAATCTGTAAAATGAGACAAAATGTATCCGCCAAAGGACTAGCACATGGAGGATATGTAGAGTTCTTAATAATAAAACAGAAGCAGTCAAAATAAGGAACAGAGTCTAACACATCACCTAGAAATAGACTTATGAGAATGACAAATGAACAGGTGATACAGTGCTCAACATCATCAGTTATTAGGAAAATGCAAATTAAACTCAAGGAGATACCATCATATATACCCACTAACATGCCTAAAATTAGAAAGACAACAAGGCTGAGGACTGAGCTCAGTGGTTTCACCGCCTCCTGCGCAAGCACAAGGACCAGAGTTCGATCCCTGGTACCAAAAAACCCCCCAAAAAACTGACAGCGACACGTGCTGGTGAGTTGCAGAGAAATGGGAATTCTTATATATTTAATATTTATTTATGGCTTATTCAGTTTTCTGACTCTGCTTGTGTCTTCATAACTTTCATGATTTTCTGCTCTCAGTAAGGAAAGCACATTTGATCCTGTGACAAGCACATCTAGCCCACACGGATCTACCATATGGCCTGACATGTTTCTTCGTTCTAGAGAATCTCATAAGGACTTTAGGTCTCACTGCATGAACCCCTCGAGGTCTGGCTGGGCACACACCACAGGCACATTCTGGCACTTTCCCAATCTTGGCATAAAGGATTCTGCTTCCCAGGATTCAGGACAGACTAGTTTTGTCAGAGGCTGTATTGAAAGCCTAGGACGCTATCAAGTTGAGACCATTCTTAAGGTCTCTGGATACCATCCCGGGAAGAGGAATACTGTAATACAATGTTAGTCAAAGTGTAAAATGGTACCGCTGCTTTGGAGAATGGTCAGGCAGGTTCTCATTTAAATATGTGATCCAGCAAATTCACTCCTAAAACTCTGATTTTGAGGTTTTTTTCTTGTTTTGATCTTGCAGGGTGGCCTTGAATTGTGTTCCTCAGGTCTCAGCCTCTAATATGCTGAGATTACACTGTGCACCACCACATCCAGCTATAACCTTATTTCCAAGTAGATCTGCACAAAGGGCCGGGGATTTAGCTCAGTGGTTTCACCGCCTGCTGCGTAAGCGCAAGGACCAGAGTTTGATCCCTGGTGGAAAAAAAAAAAACAAAAAAGATTTGCACAAGAATGTTTAAAGTAGTTTTAAATAAAATATACAAAAGCGGGGGGGGGGGAACAAATTACTGACACCCATGGAACCCCAAAAAACATGCTAAGTAAAAGAAATTGTACACAAGAGTACATGCTGCATGATTCTAAATGTATGAAATTCTAGTGTAAGCAAAAGTAACACACGGCCAAAGAAACTGGTTGCCTGGGGAGGTATGAAAGCAGATATTGACTGGGAAGGGCTGTGGATTTTGGCAAGGATGAATAGTCTCTACCAACTGAGACACAGAAATAAGAAAACTCTCTAAAAAATGCAACCTAGCCGGGGATTTAGCTCAGCAGGTTTCGCTGCCTGCTGTGTAAGTGCCAGGACCTGAGTTCGATCCCCCCCCCCCCCAAATGCAACCTGGTTAGTCAAACAATGTTCATTAAGTTAAATACTTTCTTCAGTAAAAGAAATTTTGGTTCTACATCAAAGACACAAAATGAAATTCAGTACAGCCATTAAAACTTGCAGATAACTTGTGGTAACAGAATTTTTAAATGAGAAAAACTGAATCCAAAGCCTATTATATAAATTAGTTGTAAAGTGGGCTGGTGGCACACAAGTCTATAATCCCAGCACTATAGAAGGCTGAGTGAGGCAGGAGGATTGTTAGCTCAAGCCCAGCATGGGCAATTAAGCAATTTAGGGAGACCTTGTCTCCAAAAATAATAAAGGGCTGGGGTATGTGGTTCAGTGTGAAGCCCCTGGGGTTCAATTCTCAGTACTGGAGAGGGATTTAAAAAAAAACAACTGGGGCTGGGATGTAGCTCAGCCCAAGTATGCTAGACCACTGGGTTCAATTGCCAGCACTACAAACACACAAAAACAAAAATCCTAAACGTTAATGCTGTTCGGGCTGGCGATGTAGCTCAGTGGTGCCTCGCCTGCCAGGCAAGCACAAGGTCCTGGGTTCGATCTCCGGTACTGGGGAAAAAAAAAAATGTTGGATGCTTCCTATACATTCTTCCGTGAATACAACATCGAGATTTTTATATGCTATTTCAAACATACTATAGAGATTTTATATATATATATATATATACACACACATACACATATACACACTATAGAGATTATATACCCTTTTTTACACCATTTAACAGAAGGCTCCAAAAGAGCAGGCATCCTGCCTTTTAAAACGTACTATTATTTATTACCTGTGTATATAGCATAACAGGTGCCCAATAACTGTTTAGCTGACAGTGACAATCTTTGATCCAACAGAAAGAAACTAGTTAATAACTCTCATTGCTGGCTTACTTATAACCCTCCACCCTCAAGTTCTGGGCCCACTCAGGGGAAAACATAAAACCAAATCTATTTACAGAGAGTTGGTAATGAATCAGTGAATCCCGTAAAACAGTCTTTAGTAGGTGCAACTAACCCACGTAGTCATAGAAAGACATAAAAGAGGACATAATAGTTATCAGCCGTGCAATCGACCGCAATTGAAGTGAGTGAAGACTTCTGCTCCACACTGGGAGATTTTCACAAAATTAAAAGCCAGTCTTCACGGGAAATGTAGGTGAAATAGTGAAGTCTAGGAAGTACCATAAATTAAGAAATAAATAAATAAACTTAAAACCCCTGCATTGTGCAAACAAGTTTTGCTACTTCCAGCTTTCCAGTGCGACTAGAGCTGGGCTCAAAGGAAACGGGGAACGGACCGAAAGCAGGTTTCCACGCGGGCGCTGCAGCTGGAGGGCCTTTTCGTAGCGAGGCGGGAAGCAACGGCTAAGCCTTTACTGCCCCGTCCAGGACGGCCCGCGAGACCGGGACGCGACCCGGCCTGGAACTGGAGATCCGGATCACGCAGCACGGCCAGGGAGGGCGCGGGAGAGGCGGGCACTGGAGGCCGTTAGGAGGCCGAGCGCACGCGGTTTCCCGCCTCCTGCACTCGAGGCGGCCCGGCCGCCGGCCCGGCCCAAACCTTCCCTCCCCGGCCCCCAGCCCGGTAGGTCACCTCCACACCTCACGAGCTTCATCCTAGCGGCGCCGTCACCCTCTCGACCCGAAAGCGCACAAAATACAGCGAGCAGGACACTGCAAGCCGAAGTATGAATGGCCGGAAGCGCCTGCTCCAAGGGCTCCCGACGAAAAGGGCGGGCAGCGCTGAGGACGCATGGCGGAAACGCCGCTCTCCCTTCCGGCCGCGAGGGGCGTCACGGCGGCTCCTAGCGACTGGAGGAGCGCACTACAGCTCCTGGCGTCGCGAGGGCTGGTTTAAATGGAAATTCGAAAATTTAAATCCGGTTAGCAGGCCTGCCGCACGGCAGGGCGCGGTGACTAAGCTCCAAACAGAACCTGATTTGATCAAAGACAGCTTCTGAGAAGAGCCCAGAAGAGTATTCCAATTCTGTTCCAACACCTCCAGGAACCTTAGGGTTGCTTCATGCACCTGTAGAAAATCACCTAATTCAGCTGATTATTTTCACTTTGAGTTCTGAGCTCCAAAAAACTTTTAATGCCGTCACCGTTTTCAACATCGTAGCAACATATAATTCAAATACTTCCTTTGAAACATGTTCCTTCGGCTCCCAGGGTGCCAAGCACACCTGCGTTTCTTCCTGTCCTCTTGTTTCTAGGTCTCCTTCGCCGGCTCATCCTTCTCTGGGGAGCCCTGACAGGTTGGGGTACTTGGGGCTTCCTGCTGTAGCTCCCTGTGCTTCCTTCTCTGGTAGCTTAGGTGATCTCCAAAACTATGGCTTTAATTTGTATCTTTAATGTGGACTTCATCCCTGCTCACCTGAACTTTTTTATTTTTTGGCATTAGAGATTGAACCCAGGATCCTCACATTGAGATACCACCTCACCCCTTTTAATGTTTATTTTTATTATTTTGAGAGGGTTTCACTAAGTTGCCCAGGGTGGGGGTCCAATTCAGGATCCTCCTGCCTCAGCCTCCCAGTGTGCTGGGATGACAGGCGTGCACCACTACTTGTATCTTGTATTTCAATGTTCATGAAACTTTAACATGCAACCAGACCTGGTGGTGCACGCCTGTCGTCCCAGCACTCGGGAGGCTGAGGCAGGAGGATTGCTGTGAGTTCGAGGCCAGCCTGGGCTACATAGTGAGACCTTGTCTCAACAAAAAAAGAAGAGGGGCTGGGGATTTAGCTCAGTGGCACTGAGCCTGCCTCTCAAGCGCAGGGTCCTGAGTTTGATCCCTGGTACCAAAAAAAAAAAAAAGAAAGAAAAAAAGACTTACCTGGGGAAACTAAAGTGTGGGGCCTGAAATATTCCTTTTTTTGGTCTCTCTCCAGCACTGTAGGTTCAACCCAGGAGTATTCTACCATTTTTTTTTTTCAGTATTGGGGATCGAATTCAGGACCTTGTGCTTGCCAGGCAGGCGTGGTGCCACTGAGCTAAATCCCCAGCTCCTTTCTTTCTTTTTTGGTACTGGGGATCCTTTTTTTTTTTTTTTGGTACGGGGGATCGAACTTGGGACCTTGCGCTTTCAAGGTAGGTGGCGGAACCAGAGCTAAATCCCTGGGCCCCTTTCTTTCTTTTTTTTAAGACACTATTTTGCTAACTTGCCCAGGCTGGCCCTGACTTGTGATCCTCCTGCCTCGGCCCCCAAGTAAGTGGGATTACAAGAGTGTGTCACGACACACGGAATATGCTGCATTTTAAACAAGCCTTCAGTGGCTGAAAATGTCCCCACTGTGGACCATGATTTCAGCAGCAAGGCTGTGATACATATTGTTAGCTGCCTTCTAAACATCTGCGCTTCGATTCCCAAAAGTTTCCCAGATTCTTCTGGGGATTCACATGGTGCTAAGGAAATGGACTCTACCCTTACACCAAGGGTCACACTGCATTGCCGGGTCACAACTGGCTTGGGCTCTAAACTGATCCAATCAGATCATTCACAGGGATTTTCTTCTCTTTTAGATGTAAATAGAGGGGGTAGTTGTCCCCCTATGGGGAACTTTCTTAGAACCTCGGGGAAACCAGTCTCAGGATAGAGAGATGTTTTGTTTTGCTTTTGCTAGTAGCTCAGGCTGGCCTTAAATTTTCAGTCCTCCTGCCTCAGCCTCCCTTGTGCTGGGACAGTGCATCACCACACCCAGCTAGGGACAGAGTTTTAAATGAACCAAACCCAGGATGATATTAATAAATCCTAGATGCAGAAGAAAATGTGTTTGGAGGCACCTATTTACATTGAAATTAATAAATGGAGATAAAAGCTGGGTGTGGTGGTACACACCTGTAATCCCAGCACTCGAAGGCTGAGGCAGGAGGATGGCCCAGAGTTGGAGGCCAGCCTGAGCTACATAGCACAATCCTTCCTCAAAAAAACAAAGTTTAAAAATTCAGTTCCTCTGTTATATTCACCACATTTCAGGTATTCAGCCACCAAATATGGCTCTACCTACAGTGCAGACATAGAATATTTCCATAATCACAGGAAGTTTGATTGGATAGTGGTACTTTGTCTATTCCCATGTTTGTTTTGTTCTTGGCATTAAGTATTTGCTTACTGATTTATTGTCTGAAGTGAGAAAGTGAGTGTTCAGAAAGCAAGAAATTGTATATGTCCAGTCCCCTGCAGCGCCCCCAGCATCTACACTGGTGTCTTGCACATCATATGGGACAGGGTTGTGCTGGAAAAAGGGCACATGCCCCTGCTGTGCCATGAGACAGAAGAAGGTGGGCAGATCTAGGACTACAGAGATTACAGTTTATTGAGGATTTACAAAGAAACATGTGGCAGCAGCAAGACAATTTGGGCCAGAAGGTGGGGGCTTACGAAATGGTCAGGACAAAAATGACTTCATCCAAGCCAGAGTGTACCTTGAAACATAAGTCAAGCACATCCTGGTGCCAAGCACTGGCGGTAAAGCTCCATCTCCCACTCTAAGGCTTCTGTCTATTTACAGTGTGCTGGGAACTGGGGAGAATGGACCAGCGCTCCTCAGAGCCAACCATGGTGGCAGTGACTCATGATGGCTGCTGTCATGTCAAGGGGAACCCAGGCAGCTCTCAGTCAGTACTGTGAAGTAACTGAATGCCTTCCTTGTTGGAGTGCGTGTTCTAAGGGAAAGGAAAGCTGGTGTGTATTGTTCCCTGTAGAGTCCTCCCTGTCATCTGCAAGGCCCACCTCACTTTGGGTTCTGCCAATTTTTTTTTTTTTGGTACTGAGAACTAGACCTAGGTCTTTCACACTGAGCTACATTCCCATCCTTTTTTATATCTTTCATTTTGAGATAGGGTCTCACTGAGTCTAGACTGGAACTTGCAATCCTCCTGCTTCAGTCTCTCAGAGTCCTGAGATCACAGGGCTGTGCCACCATGCCTGGCTTCTGCCTCTTAACCTATCTTTCTCCCTCAAGAGTACAGGAACATTTCAGTTCTCGCAACTCCTCTGCCTGACAGTGTTTGGACACACAGTTCTTTAATTTAGCCAACACTAAACTCATTCTCAAGTCTGTGGGGCCAGCTTAATTACTTAAATATCTTAAAGAGGACTCTCCCAGATAGCAAACAGAAATGCCATTGTCAGTTGATTTCTAACAAATTGCTTTTTTTTTTTTTTTTTGGGTACCGGGGATTGAATTTGGGAACTTTCGCTTGCAAGGCAGGAGGTGGCACCACTGAGCTAAATCCCTGGCCCTGTCCTTATTTTCTAGCTTTAATTTTTAAAAAAAATTTACTTTCACAGTATGAAACTATCCAGAGTCACAAGGAGTGGAGCAACCAAAGCCAGCAGGAGGGTCAGCCTGAAAGAGAGATGGTGCTGTCCCGTGTGTCAGCAGAGGTTTTGTATGTTATAGCCATTTTCAGTGGCTACAAGAAAAGTAAGAGCCAGGCATGGTGGCACACACCTGTGATCCCAGCACTCAGGAGGGCGAGGAAGGAGGATTACCATGAATTCGAAGCCAGCCTGGGCTACACAGTGAGACCCTGTCAAAAAACAAAGAAACAAACAAATAAATAAAGAAGTGATTCTACAGTATGGAGTCAGCAAGGAAAGCGAGTAATTTAAACAAGCACAGGAGGTGATACTCACAGTTTGTATTCAGCAAGAGATGGTAGAGAAAAGGCTTGCAGTTGTGGGGGTAGGGCTTGTCACAAAGAGCCTTGCTGCTTACAGAACCGGTTTGTGGCATCTGTTTCTTGCTCTTGCAGGGGCACCTGGCAAGGCAAGACTTTCTCAGGTGCTCTCAGGACAGTGTGCTCCAAATCTATGTAACCCTTTCTGCTGGGACACTTCCAGCCTTGGCTTTCAGGATGGCCCTGGCAACATAGCAACCGAGTCCTTTGTTAAGAATGTTGCTTATAGGGCCGGGGATTTAGCTCAGTGGTTCCGGCGCCTGCCTCGCAAGTGCAAGGTCTTGAGTTCGATCCCTGGTACCAAAAAAAAAAAAATGTTGCTTATGGCTGGGGATTTAGCTCAGTGGTTCTGCCGCCTGCCCTGAAAGTGAAAGGGCCAGAGTTTGTTGCTTGAAAGACCCTAGTTAGCAAGACAGACTCCATATTGCTGCTTGACCCACCTTCCTGCCCTTTAGAAGAACTCAGAAGGAGGAAGCTTAAAAACCTCCTCCCCTTAGAAAGTCTCTTTAGAAATAACAATTAATCAACTATTGTTTTACAAATGTTCTAACAGCAGGACGTTCTGCTTCTGTACCTTTTGCTTGCTTTACTAGTTCTATCCCATAGGGGGAACCTAGAAACTGCTGGCCTCAAAGGTGTATAAAACAAGTTTGTCTTCTCCCAGTCAAGGCTCGAGAGTTCAAGGCTCGAGTCCGATGCTCAGCTCGGGTCCCGGGCAGTAATAAACTCCTGTGTGGATTTAATATTGGTCTCTGGTTGGTTCTTTCTCACTGGGTGCAACATTGCTTATGTTGGTTTTGCCTGGATTTCAATCATTTTCAAGCTAATATTTTGCTTGGATTATCAAACACTTCTTTCTCTAAATTGAATATCTTCCTCTGCAGTTGTTATCTGGGAATGTATTTTCTTGTTGGTCCCAGATCTGCTTTCAATTGTGGTTTATACTCTTCACCAGTTCAGTGCTAGTCCTCTAGGGCCATTATTTGCAAAACCTGAATTCATAACTTTTTTTTTTTGGTAGCGGGGATCGAACTCAGGTCCTTTTGCTTGCGCAGCAGGCGGCAAACCCACTGAGCTAAATCCCCGGCCCTTGAATTCATAACTCTTTCTTGGAAGAGACTGAAAGTTCAGTCAAGGAAAAATTTATTCAGTTGACCATGATTACTGGTTAGTGGACAACCAAATTAAATGAATCAGCTGGGTGTGGTGGCACAGGCCTTAATCCCAGCACCCTGGGAGGCTGAGGCAGGAGAATGGCAAGTTTGAGTGCAGCCTGGGCACTTTAGCAAAATGCTGTCTCAAAATTTAAAAAAAAATTTTAAAAAAGGGCTGGGGATGAAGCTCAGTGTGAAGGTCCTGGGTTTACTCCCCAGTATGGGAAACAAAACAAACAAAACCCCCCACAAAAACCAAAAACCAAAACAAGGAGAAAATAAGAGGTTGGGACAAGTAGTAAAAGAGAACTGGTTAAAACTGGTTATTTACCAGGGAATCTGATCTACGTTTGCCTTCATAATTAACATGTCAGATAACTGGTGGGTTTTCTCTTACTGGGGTGAAAAGCTTTATCTTGTTTTTGATTTTTGTTGAGACAGGCTCGCTACGTAGCCCAGGCTGGCCTCGAATTCATGGAGATCCTTCTGCCTCAGCCTCCCAGAGGACTATTACAGGCATGTGCCACCACGCCCAGCTCTTTTACATTGGAAGATCAAAGGCTCTTGGTCTAGACACTGGAGATACAAGTTCACGAAAGCCACGGGGAATCGTTACCATGGGTTTCCAAGACAAACCACCCCGGAAGCTGGGACCCTGGGTGGTTTTAGTTCCGATGACCCCCGGAGGACCAGCGGTCGCCACCAGGAGTCCCCACCGCCACCTCGCCCAGTGCCCTCCCAAGGCGGCGCGCACGCAAAGTCTCCCATCACGCCTGCGCCGAGGACGGACGCGGCCTCGCCTTTTCCAGTACCCCTGCCTTCCAGACCGGGGTGAGAATCTGCACGACTCAGAGAGCGAGGAGGCTGGAGGAGCCGGTGCGCAGGCGCGCGCAGCGGGCGTAGGGACCGCCCATCTGAAGGGCGGGGAATTGCCGCCGTCGCCGGAAGTTTGGCCTGTGCGCCCCTGGGGGGCGGGGCCGCGGCCAGAGCAGCTGAGCGCTGGCGAGACCCGGATGTGAGACAGCTGCTGGCTGCAGTCGGACCCGCGGCCGGGCTGAGCAGAGGAGCGTGCGTCCCTCACGGTCCCCGCGGGAGCGTCTTGCGCCTTTCCCAGAACCTCCGCGGGACCGACGGCTGCTCCTCTCCTGTTATACCTCGGTGTCGCGTGTCCTGGCGCGCGTCTCCGGCTCGGGTCGCGCCCCCGGGAGGACGGTGGGAGGTCGGCGACAACGGCGCCTGAGGTAACCTGCCCCGTGGCTCTTCACCTGCCGCCGCTTGCGGGCGTCGGGGCGAACGCGGGGCCGCGCCCAGGTTGGCGCTGGAGCCCACGGCGACTGCGGGGCCGTCAGGTGGCCCTGGCCTCGCCCGCCCCACGTCACCCGAGCCCGCCCGGCCCGAGGCCTTTGCGCACCGCTGCGCGGACGTGGGCATCGCGGTCCGCAGCCGGAGCGGCCCCAAGGTCACGGGGCGTCGGGGTGGGGGCCGGGCCTGGGGGCCCGAGTGCAGTGTGCGCCGCGAGGGCAGGAGTGAAGTTCACGGCAATGGGGCGGCGCGGGCAGAGGGCACCGGGTCCTCGAGGTAGTATCGCCGTTCACGAGATCATCCCATAAAGGGGGCTTGTTTTGCCATTGGCAGCAGAAGATAGCGAATCCCAAAATGCGAGCACACCCCGCACCCCGGCTCTGAAAGATTTGTTGCAAAAACGTGGCTTGGACAGAATTTTTCAGGTGTTGGGAGTTTGGCGGCCGCAGAGGAATTAGTTAAAGCGTTGAGATCCAAGTACTGTAGTTTTATCTGAAATGAAGTTGGCTTGGCAGGAAGTAGTTTCGGTATACAGAGTCTAAATAGTGTTCCATGGAGAGGCTGAGGCAAGAGGATCGCCGCGAGTTCGAGGCTAGCCAGAATTTAATAGTGAGGCACTGTCATAAAAAACAAAACGAAACAAAAAGTTACAAAACGATATCTTCAAAAACAGTATTTGCTGAGAAAAAAATACTATTAAGTGGTATAATAGAGTGGGTGGGATTTACCCCATCCAAACATGATTTAAAAAAAAAACAAACCCCAAAAACTAGGTAGAGGCTAGGGGTAGCTAGTGGTAGAGTGTCAGTTTACCAGGCGCGGGAGTCTGGATTCAATCCTCCTCAGTACCAAGAGGAAAAAATACCAGACAAACTGAATAAACCATAGATTTTAGTTGTAAATATCGAGGTTGCTGTGAACTGCACTATATTCAGTTTTTGTGATCAATTTATATTCTGCTTTGCATAGGGGTCCAGCGCTAAGGAACATTTTCAATTTGAATAATTTGAAAACATGAAACGATTTAGATACTGATGAGATTAGACAGGAGAGTAGGATGAGAAGTGTTTAAAAGTGTTGAATTTGGGCCTGGCACGGTGATCTCTTGCTTGCAATCCAGGACTCAGAAGGCTGAGGCAGGAGGATCACAAGTTTGCATCCAGCCGGAGCGACCTGGTAAGGCCTTGTCTCAAGATAAAAAAATAAAGCCCGGCTTGGTGGCGCGAGTCTGTAATCCTAGCACTCAGGAGGTTGAGCCAGGAGGATCTTTGGGAGTTCGAGGCCCCCCTAAACTATAGATTGAGGCCTTGTTCCAGCCCCCCTCTCCCCTCAAAATAAAAAAGGTCTTGGGGAGGTAGCTTAGTGTAAAAGTTTGCCTTGGATCCCTGGTTTAAAAAAATAATAACTTGGCAACTGCAAATTCAGACCTACAGCATGAGGAAAGGAGAAAACTAGGACTGTAATAGAGCCATTTCCTCCTCTTAAGCAGAATATGCCTTAGATCAAGTGTTAATTTTTGAACAGCATTTGTCCTCTTACTAGCTTCTCCCCTTCTCAATCATTTCTTTTGTTTTATTTTTGGTACTGGGGATCGAACTCGGGTCCTTGCGCTTGCGCAGCAGGCGGCAAAACCACTGAACTAAATCCCCAGCCCTCAGTCATTTCTTTTTGAGGAAGGTATGCTGTCATGTTGCCTTGCCTCATCTAATATAATTCTGTAGTGAACAAGTATTTTTTTTTAAACATCTGCTCCATACAAGGTTTTGTGGTGGCATTTAAATTGATGAATTATGCTTAACAGAAGAACTAAAAAAGGGGTCTAATTAATGAATGCCATTAACATGCTTTGCTGGATGGCCCTTTTTGGCTTGGTAATTCATTAAAATACAGAGCTGATTGGATTTATTCTAATAATTAAGGTGACTAGGGTTGCATGATTAAAAATAATGGATTGTTTTTCTAGTAGTTAAATATTTTCTTGCCTTTTATGAGCAGATTTATATCCTACATAGAGTTCTTTGGATACTCTCTACTGAAGGTGATATGTTTGGATGATAAAAACCAATTCCAGTAAAATTGTTACCCTAGGTAATAATTGACTCAGTGATTCTTTTTTTTTTTTTCCTACTGGGGATCAAACTGGGGACCTTGCACTTGTAAGGCAGGTGAAGAACCACTGAGCTAAATCCTTGGCCCAACTCAGTGATTCTTAACTCTTCTAAAACCCAGATTTTCATATTTTTCTGTGTGTGATTCAGTGAAAATTTTTGGCTCTATTTCTACAAAAGCTCAGTATTACAGATTTATCGTAGGGCAAAATGTACATACAGTTTGCTGTCTTTTCTCTTTTTGGATGGAGTCGGAGAACTTTATACTTGATTGTATTCTACATTTAAAGAAAGCAAAAAAAAAAATAGAAAGCAAGATTTGTATCCTCTTTAGGTAAAAACTGAGAAAGTAAATGAAAATAAGATAATCAAGTATTGCTTTAGGGCTGGGTTTGTAGCTCAGCAGTGCCGTGCAACTGTTTGGCAAGCTCAAGGTCCTCAGTTCGATTCCCAGTACCAAAGGAGAAAAAAAGTATTGTTTATTTATTTTTTTTGGTACCAGAGATTGAACTCAGGACCTTGTGCTTGCAAGGCAGGGTGGCAGAACCCCTGAGCTAAATCCCTGAACCAAATTTTTTTTTAAATAACAATTTTTTTTTTGGATCCTTTTTTTTTCCTTAAGGTACTGGGTATTGAATGCAGGGTCTCACACATGATAGGCAAGCGTTCTGCCACTGAATTATATCTCCAGCCCCCTCAAGATCCCTTTTAACTTTTAAAAATTACGTAGGACCTCAAACAGCTTTTGTTTAGGTTGGATATATGTGTTGATAGTTACTGTTAGAAATTATGAATATTAATGTATTTAAAATGCATATTCTAACTACAGGTTAATGTAACTTGCTTAAATTATAATATATTCCAAACAAAATTTAGTGAAAATGGCAGCTGTATTACATTTTTGTAAATCTCCTTAATGTTTGGCTTAATAGATGACAACTGGGTTCTTCGATCAAGCTGCTGTATTCAGTCTGTTGCTATGTGTCGTGGTTGAAGTGTATGAGGAAAATCCAGCTTTGTGGCAGTATTTTTGAGAGGGGATATTTTCTTTTTTTTTTTTTTTTTTGTACCAGGGATTGAACTCAGGACCATGTGCTTGGGCAGCAGGCGGTGAAACCACTGAGCTAAATCCCTGTCCCAGGAGGGGATATTTTAACAGCTTTTTCAGATAACTGTGGTAATTCTTTGTTCAACAATAAACACTATGACTAAGTCAAGTTTATCCTGAGAAGCAGGAACACAACTCCAAAGAATGATCACAATTTAGTCAGGCTTGGTGGTACATGCTTGTGATCTCAGCACTTGGGAGGCTGAGGGAGGCAGACTGCCACAAATTTGAGACCAGCCTGGGCTATATAGTGAGTTCAAGGCCAGCCTGAACTACATAGAGAGACACTGCCCCTGGAAAAAAAAAGAGGAGAGGGGTGAGGGATTTAGCTCAGCGGTGCCACTGCCTGCCTTGCAAGCGCAAGGTCCTGAATTTGATCCCTGGTACCAAAAAAAAAAAAAAAAAGATCAAATTCAGTCATCTTGATAGGAAATTAAATCATAAAATTCTTTTTTTGGGGTACCGGGGATCGAACTCAGGTCCTTGTGCTTGAGAAGCAGGTGGTGAAACCACTGAGCTAAATCCCCGGCCCCTATAAAATTCTTATAATGTTCTCAGTAAACTGGTGTTCAGTAAAACTAAATATTATTAACTAAAACTAAAAAAAGATATTCCACCCTGAGGGCAAGAATGAAATTTTTCCTAAAGGGAAGGTGTTGGTCCTGATAAGAGGGAAGTGGGAAGTTGGGAGTTCACTGATGACCCAGAATGGAGACACCCATGGATAAAGCAAGTGGGGAGTCAGGGTGCACCTGGTAGAGCTGGTACCCAGGTCAGGCTACAGAACTCATTTAGAGACTCGCCTTATATTGGCAAACTTGTTATTTTATTTAGTGGGTCAGCAGATTTCTTTACAACAAATTATTAAAAAGTATGCTATGGATTAAATAAGAAAAATCTAGCAATTTTTTAAAAAATTCTTTTATTAATACATTTTAGGTATATAACAAAATCTTTAGCAATTTAATATTCAATTCACTTGAGAATTTGAATAACAGTCAGATCTCCTAGCAGTGTTAACAGCACTACCCAGAAACCACGTAGTTTATTTATTTATTTTATTTATTATTTCTTTTTGGTATGGGAATCAAACTCAGGACCTTGAGCTTGCGAGGCAGGCAGCGGAACCACTGAGCTAAACCCCCGGCCCCAGTACCTTTGTTAATAAGCAAAAATTATTACCAATTAAATTACCTTTCCTTCAAAATGTTAGAATGTACTTTTCAAGTTCAACACAATACGGATAGCCCTGTGACTACTCTTTGAGCACTTTCCCTTCAGCCAGCTGTAATCACTACCCTGAATTCAGTGTTTATAATTCTCAGCTATTTTTTATACTTGACTATATCCTATTTCTAGATGAAAAAGTATTGTGATTCTTTTTTTTTTTTTTTTTTTTTTTGGTATGGGGCATGGAACTCGGAACATTGCACTTGCAAGGTAGGCAGCGGGATCACTAAGCTAAATCCCTGGCTTATGATGCATTTTTTAAGTCAAAGATGGGATGTTATGTGTTCTTCTATAACATTCTTTTTGCTCAATATTATACCTAAAAAGTTCAACAAAACAAATGGTGATATCTTAAAAGTTAGTGGAGGGCAGGGGATTTAGTTCAGTAGTGCCGCTGCCTGCCCTGCAAGCACAAGGACCTGAGTTTGATCCCCCGTACCAAAAAAATAAGTTAGTGGAATCTGAAGCCTTTTTATATATTTTTTGTACACTATTACAGTTCATTGGTTTGTTTTGTTTTTTGTTTGTTTTTGTACTATTGGGAATTGAACCCAGGGCCTTGTGCATATCACATTTTGTTCATCAGTTAATTGACATTTATTTTGTTTCTATTTTGGCTGTTAGGAAGGCTGTGAACATTTGTGTACAAGTTTGGTAGACACATGCAGATTCACTTTGAACTG